CCACTACTGTGCATGTGTGTCAAGGACAGAAAGGCAGACGTGGCAGTGGAAGGTGTCAAAGCAGTTTGGAGAGAAAAACAAAGTAAAGAACAAAAAAAAAAAGATTAATCGATTATTAAATTAGTCATCGGTTGTTTTAATAATCAATTAGTCGTCAATTAATTGATTAATCATTGCAGCCCTAACTGATATATTTTCCTTTTAAATCTAACATCACTACAACTGAAACAGAGCGTGTGCTCATGGCTGAAGCAGAAAATTGATTCAGTGATAAAGACTAGAGGACTGGTAGAAGCATCACAAAGTTCACACAGCAACTATTCCCAAATGCTTTCAGTTTTTGACCCACAAAATGACAAGCGAAGATTTAAAACCCGTTAATGAAGTGTACAAACATTGCTACAACAGACCACTAAACAAGTCGTGAGCACCATGGCATCACAAACACCCACTGTTTTACAGCCCGCTGTCAAAGAAAAAATATTTAACTCTGTTAATCTTACATTTACTGAGATAAAACCTGGAGCGATAGTAGCCGAGAGACATTCACAACACACGTCTGTTAGCAAAATATCTCATGAAACACAGAGCAGATTTAAATTAAACTTTCACACAGTAACCATCAGGTGTACGTCTACAACAGGTTTGCTTTTAAAGTCAATCCAATTGATGACGCTGCAACAGTCAGCTGAGTTTAGAAAACACAAAATTGGCTGTACTGTAGGGGTGTAAATCACCAGCTTTACCACCATACAATATTATATTTGTTTGGATGACAATACATTTGTCAATATCACAAACCCTGCCGTGATAGGGAATCAATGTTTTTATTTTGCCTTGGTTTGATTGAACCATTAATCATGTAATATATTGATGTGGATCCATGTATTGTTACAGTACGATTTTGATGTGGCAGTATTTCAGTCGTTCTACTTGATCATGCGAAAATGTTGCAATTTTCAAGATTTGACCTAAATGGCCATAACACTGCCATTTCTCAAAAAAATAAAATAAAATAAAATAAAAGGATGATCATTGACTAAATCTGTGGCATGAAACGTGGAGGACATACATTCCTTTATCAATCTTATTTCTTGTAATAATTATGCCAACTTCATTCATTCTGGACATCCTCTCAGTGGGGTCCAGACCCCCCCAMGGTGCTTCAGGTCTGTGGCCGCCTGACTGTAAACATTTCGGGCAGGTTTCAGAGCTCCCACGGCTGACGTTGGCTCTGGATGTCAGCGGTCCTCTCTGACCCTGACCCGGTCAGGAGAGGCGGCAGGAGCACGTTTCAGCCCCACCGGGTGTGTAAACCYGGCTGTCACCCACCTCCCCCCCCGGCCTGCGGACCGAACAACCGAATCAACACCGAGCCGCCGGCTGAGGCGAGGGTCAGAATCAAAAAAGCCACGTTTACAAACAAAACTCGTCGTATAGAGTCTGATATGAGGAAGCCACATTCCGCAGTAGATTATAATCTAATTTGTTTTCATTCCAGCGCACTGAGATTACCCAGTAAACACGGTGAAGCTGGTTTATGGTTCCAGCAAGTTAGCTGTGTCCGCCTGTCTCGTGCCATGTCACGGTAAACTTAGCCATATAAGGAACATGATAATGACAACAAGCAGAAAACCGAGCTAACGTTAACCCTTCAGGGCCATATTCATTCCGAGCTGGGCTAACGTACATAATCAAATGTAAATCCACTTCAATCTACATTAAAGCCTGGTTAATGAGCGACATTTGCTCGTGGAAAGGTAGCGGGCTAGCTGTGATAAAGTTAGCCCAAACAGAGGTAAACGCTAACATCAAATGTCTGCGGAAGTTAGCGCTGGCTAACGTGGACACGGTTAGCCAGCTGAGTTTACAAACCTTGTTTATTTGCTCGCGTCGAGTGAATAAAAGCAATAAATAACATCCTGAAAAATCCGACACACGGTGTTCTTGTTCCTGTGCGAGAGCACCGACAGCTCGGGGCTCTTTTCTCCGGACTCGCCATGCTGCTGCTTCTTGTCGCTGCCGCAGGTCTCTCCGTTACGATGTGAACCGAGCGAGTTTGTGCACATGCCCGTGTAAACCTCTGCTGACTCCGTCAATCATAGCCGTGAGGGGGGGAACTCCTCCAGCTCTACTGACGGAGCATCACAGGCGAGCTAACCACTGACGGAACAGGACRCTGGCCTCGTCGTCGTCTTCTTCCGCTCCACGCAGCGTCACCGCCGGTGTCACCAATGCCGCCGCTCCTGCTTCCACGCTGTAAAGTTTTGTTGTTTTATTTGGAGATAGTATTTTGTAGCCAAGTTTTTGTTTTTTTGAAGCAGTGGTAGTCTACAACTCTATACTTTTATGAAAGTAATCATGGTTGATTGAACGGTGAAGTCAGGTTTAACAAACTTCACTGAAATATTATGGACGGCACAGGGGCGCCACCAAGGAGGGGCCGGAGGGGATGAC